CAGTTAACAGTCATATTTTATTGAGTTTTTGTGAATTGTAGTCATAAATTCATTTAGATTGTGCACGAGGAAATGCATTTCGCATGCATTTGTTGGGAGGCAAATGTGCTCTCTCAGATTTATTACGGGTCGAATAAATGAAGACGTGTTGCATAATGTATGAAAAACATAACTAAGAAAAGCTATACCAATTATTTTCAAAATATTTTAGCTCATTTTTTCTCTAAAATAACAATTAGAACAATAATATTATATTTTAAAATCTATTAAAAGGCAATTCCAACCTTTTATTCCAGGACGTGTGCTTAGACAAGCTTCTGTCGTTGCTCAAAATATTTTGCCTAACATTAATTGCTCGAAATGTCTCTTACAAAACTGATTGCAGGCTGTCGGCCAAAGAGTTTTCTTCTCCCTTTTAAATGCCAAAACAATGACAGCCGTAAATAATACGTATTTTCCGTACTGGCCTGCTATGGCTTCTTGTGGTTTGCCCTGCTTGCTTTTCATTTGTGCTGGAAAAATATTATTTACACTTTATGATTTCTTTATTTAGCACTAATTGCTGCCTTTATTTTATGTTTTAAGCTCTGAGCTTGGCCTTTGCCTTTGGCCAGTGAAATAAAATGCTTAAGAGGCGAAACCCAGTAATAAGAATAGGGAAAACAGGTCAAGATGAAAGGCAAGACAAAGGAAATAAAGTGAATGAGATGGAAAACTTTGACAAAAAAGATAACATTTTTCTAGCTGGTAATAAATTTAATTAAAAATGCAGTACGATGATTTAGTTGGAGTATGTAGCTTTCGATACACTTTTAGCAATAGACTAATTAATTTATATAAAACCGTTTTGAAGGGAGTCAGCTTTTTGACAGCTGTCAAAAACAAAGCGCGGTTTCTCGTGACGGATTCTCAGACAACCGAAATGATCTGCAAGACACATAGATACACAGAGGCACACACACGTCCATCCTCAGATAATATCAAAAAGTTTTCCCTTCCTCGGATTTATTTTTATGCCTTCTGCCTTAGCATATGCTTGTTTATGGCTCTTGGCTCCTTCTGCTTCTGCTTTGCTTCTGCTTTTGTTGCTCGGCTGCTTTTCTCGAGCGTGTAAAGTTTATTTTTGTTACTTATTATTATTATTCCGGCGCTGTTCCTTGGCTTGGTCCTTCCCCGCCTTATTATGCGCCAGTATCCAGTCGCCGTCTCCGTTCGCGTATGTGTGTTCTTATTTTCCGTAATTAATTTCGTGCTTCGAAACATCTGCAGCTGGATTTTTACTGCATCCGAAATTACGCATACGCCCCATGTAATGCAGACTTGATGGTCTGCTTTCAGCTACAGCCACAATTTTGCGCGAAATGTAGCTGCAAACGACTTCGTGTTTGGCTTAAAGCGCTGCGTACCCGCACAATAAAAATGCCAATTTGTTGAGCAAAATTTAAGGCTGTAAAGAAATATTTGCCAACTAGACAAGTCAGCCAGCGCAGACATTGACACAAGGAATTCTTGCGAATTTCATAGGCAAAATACCGTGAACGAAACTCAACTGCACCACACGGCGTATGTGCGATGCGCCGCAGAGAGAGTTGGTGGATTGGGAATAGGAAGTTGCAAAACTGGGAAACCTGGGAAAACCACAAAAGACGACTCCTCCAGTAGACGTTCCACATGAGCAGTCGCGGGTAGTTTCGGCTATATGACTTTAGATAGCTTCTTTTGTGACCTTACATTTAAAATGTCTATTACATTACACCCTTGTATTTGTAATGATACATTTAAATACAAATCGAATCTAAGGGAACAGCTATTTGAACTTATTTTTAAAGTGCATTATTAGCAAAATTTTAATTGTATTCAAATATATGAACCCTTAAGAAATATTTGATTCAATCGTTTTCCATTATAATATTTTTAGTTGCGAAATAAGATTTACTGTTTAACTTTAACAACAAATACACAAAAAATAAAAAATTTAATTGATATCTATTTATTTATCTTATTGGTACTTACTGACGCCCCGTAAATTCACTTTGATGAGTCAGCCACATAAGATTCACAAGTTGTATGAGCTATTATAAATTATCTTAACCAAGTATTTTACAAGATGATTAAATATATTTATTTAAAGAGCTTTATGTTGTGTGTGGTAAGATACATTTTTGAATCGACTAAGTATCCTAACCGAATCACTCTGACTATCTCTGGTAACCTTAGAAATATTTATAAATTAATTAACCACGCTCTTCAAGGCTGTCTTATTTACTTTAATTAAAAACTAAATAGCTTTCCATCATGCCCAGTAATCCCTTCCAGTGAGATCTCCTCAGACAGTCACTCAATCCGAGCATTTACCTGGCTCAACTTAAGTTCCATCTGCAACTGCATTTGCCTATGTGCCACCGCAGTGTCGCGTCGTCGTCGCAGTGTAAACAAACCGCTGGGAAATGGATAAGAAATGTGGGGGAAATGGTGGGAAAAGCGAGCATAAGGCTGAAGGAAAACTGCCACTATTTACAGGTAGCTTTCCCCGGGAGATTCGCCAGAGCTGCTTATGCAGCAACGAAAACTTCTCCTTGAATTCTGGTTTTTTGGTGTTTGCTCCGAGGGCGAATCTTTTTCAGCTCAACTCGCAAACTGTGAGCATAAGCTGAAAGGTGAGTGCCGCAAATCAGAAGGAAATTTGCCAAGCGGCAACAATTCTCAGGATAACTAATCCACTCACACACTTCACACTTCAATTTCCGCCTGGTTTTCTTACCTGTCTCATCGCCGGTGAAAATTCGAAGTTGTTTGTTATTGCCGCTCGTTATTGTTGCCATGTTCCATGTCGTTTTCCATTTCGATTGTGTCACTAACATGTTGCGCTCCCACAGGCCAAAAGGGGGCGGGGCGGGGGCCTTGGGTGGGTATGTTGCACGGTGGGCGTGGCAGCGGCCAATGATTTGAGGAGTGCGCCCAGGCAATTTCACAACGGGCACGTATGCAAACAGTGGCCAAAAAGTGGGCGTGGCCATGCCAGAACCTCGAAATGGGAATGTGCCAAACTGTCGGCTGCAATTTTGTCGGCTGGTGGCTCCAGAAAAACGCATAAACAGAAAAAAGCACGTAAGAATTTTAGAATACCTCTTCGACCCAAAGATACCCAGTATTTAATTAATTATATTTGGAACCCCAAGCAATAGCTTCTAAAAGATTAATTCATTTTAATTATAATATTCAACATTACTAACAAAATTAGAAAATAAAAAGGTTTTAGATGCCTGCTGAAAATTTCTAAGAATATTGTATGCTCGAATTAATGATTTAAATCTTTAGCTGAGCATATAAAGCTTTTTTAATAATTTAGTATTTGAACTACGACAAAACCATATAGTACTTAATATTTTAAGGTACCTGCTAAAGGATATTCATTTGGACCTGGTTAATACTCAGAGGTTTCTGAGTTTACATACTTTACCATTCGCTATTATAGTACCTTCCCAGTTCTGAATACCAATCATACCCAGTTCTAACCCTTCAAATAGTGGGTACACAGGCATTGTAGCCCAAAGAACTACAATATGACAAATTCAGATGCGTATGTCGTCTCCTTGGGCTTCTGGCAGAGTGAAGAGAATAATGGCCGTGCCCTCAGTACAATTTCCGTAGCATCCTCGTTGCATTCGAACAAAAAAAAAGAATCACTTCAGGCGAATGGGGGGCAGGGCTGCAAATCTATGCCTAACTACAAAGTAAGCAAAAATCGGAACTGGGTGCAGATTGAGCTGTTGCCAAAATTTCGAGGATCCACGACTAGGTTACAGCCTCAAGGGTGAATACTGAAGTTGTCGATGGAAATGCATCGAAATTGGCATCAGATTTACAGATACTTTCATTGAAATAGGACATTCCTATTGTAGGAAATCTTTTAGACTTCTACTGAACTCTTTTTTAGTAATTTTAAATTTTTTTTTATCTAATAAATATTCTTTTCTCTACATTTTTCTTTTCTAACACTTGCATGCCATGTTAATCTATTTGGACATCCTGAAATATTCCTTAAGGGCAAATTATTCAGGACCCAGAGCAGCCACCCCAACTTAACACATTTATAATGTCCGGTAACGTTATGAAAATGCATTTTTCGACTGTCCCCACGACAATGAGAAACGGGAACAACAGCGCGAAGCCGAAAAAACCCCCGACTTCTGGCATAAAATATCACACGTTGAAAACGTTTTTCGCAGCATTTGTGTGGCATTTAATTAAATGCATTTTTATTTTTTTTTAAATTCACCCAACGTCACATAAAATATGCGAACAAAAAAAATGGCAGGGACCACAAGAAACAGGTGTGAAGCAGAGACAGTGCAAAAAGGTGTTAATGGTGACTATGAAATTCCATTTGCATACACACTCAAGTTACAAAAAATAATATACGAAAAGCATAGTTTCTAAAAAAAGCGATAATTTTTAATGCAATTTTACCTTTTTTTCCTACGTTGGTGTCTGCGTTTTTGCCCCCTTTCGGCTAAGTAATGGTAATTAGGCGTGGAAAAATCCATTAGCCCAGGCCCGGTCGGATACAGTCGCCAGGAACAGAAGGCACAGCCCTTCCAGTGCTAATTTGGACTATTTAAATTTGAAAACTGCCAGTTAATACCAAAAAAAACCAACAATGCCAACTTAAAGTCGCTGAAATCAATAGGTCAAAAATTTACTATAGGCTCAGTACTGCAAACATTTCCTAGCAATTCTGAAAATGAATTATATAGCCCTCATAAATAAAAATTTTGTGGGTAATGACTCAGGAGCACTCAAATATCATTAAAAATAGAAATTTCAAAAAGTAAGATTTATGGTTACCGTGTTCTTGATCTAAAATGGAATAAGGCTGTTAATAAAAGCTGTTCAAACATTCGCCATTCAGAGACATTTAAAACACAAAACCTTTTATGTCCCTTGGAATATTTAGTACAATTTATTATTTTTTTTATTATTTATTTTATAATCTTAAATTACTTCTGCGGCCACAGCCACCGCAACATGACGACTTCGAACACGAAATGTATGCATAAGCAGATGACAAAGGCGTAAAAGGCCAGCACAATGACCACGGTGATCTGAAGGCTGTGTTCTATGTTCTGGCGCGTCTCCTCCTGAATGGACTCCACGGTGGACTTTCCAAAGTACAAGGAAACCACGGCCAAAGTGACTGCCGTATTGCAGATCCACACACAACTCCTCTCGAAGCGATTCATGGTGATGCCGCCGACGTTACTTTGCCAGGGTCCGGTGATCGGGTTGATCATGAACCAGCTGACATATAGCTGCTCGATCCGAAGTCGTAATCGCTGACACCACGTGTACTTCGGGGTCTTTCTGTAGGGGCCCATCGTGAAGTACTTGGAGCGCATGAAGTGAGTGTGACCCCGCTCTATCCAGCTGTCCACCAGGAACAGCTGCTGTACATTCAACTCCAGATCTACGACTGTGATGGATCGGCAATACCACGAGGGGTATCTTCCATTCCTGCCGATTCCCAGGGCCAAACGGGTGGGTATGTAGATATTCCCCCGCGGAATCATCAGCTTGTTGGTGCTGTTCCTCAATAACTTTGGATGCCCAGGATCCTGGGTGATTTGATACGAGGTCTGCGGTCGATTTGGCGACTTGAAGTAGAACTTAATGTTCGACGTAGTGCCCGCAAACTCTTGACCTCCAGTGACTATTACGAGAAGGATCTCAGCTCCTTTACCGTGCCAGCGATCCGTTTTTCCTTTCGCAGTTTCGCAATGCAGAATACTTGGCTCCCTCAGATGGGCAGTAATAATATCCGCATTGAAAATCCACTTAAGGATGATCATTAGGAACAGCACCAGGAAGATGAGCAGCATGGTCATGTTGTACAACAGCACGGGAACGGGTATGTGCTCCACAAACAGTTCCGCTGAGATAGGAAAGATCCGAGAAGACAGAGTGCCTAGGGTGTAGCAGGTGCACTGAACGGAGGTTCCAGAAGCGTGCTCGAAAGTGGTGGTGCAGTAGTCCTTGCTCCAGCCGGGATCCAACGAACGGTTCTTCCAGAAATTGCACTGGTATATCTCCAGAAGAATCGAGTAGTTCAGAAACCGCGACTCAAGAATTTCCTCCGGCTCTTCATATTCGTAGTCGTAGTACGCTTCCCTTTTTATCCGCTTCTTTTTATACTTCTTCCCCGTCCTCAGTTTCTTTCTATATCGCACATCACCCGGCCTGTGAATGGCCACATAGGCCCGACTTCGTGCACAGGAGTTTGCCATCCAAATGCGTTTGCCCACCATTTCGGGAGTTATGCGACAGGCCCCCTGTCGTATCTGACCCAAAGTTGGCCACCTGTGCATCCTCATCTTTATGTACATCAGCTCCGAACAACTCACTATTCGCACCGCCAACATGGCCTTTTGGTTCAGCATAAGGCTATATATGTGGATCTCCGTACTATTTCGAATACTGCTGTTGGCCATCCACTGCGTGAAGAATTCGTCGTTGAACTGGGTAATGTTCGTCTTGTACACTAGAGGATTCTTCAACTCAGCCTCCTTGGAGCTATGAAAAAAGTTAGTGGGACTGTAGGCGTGCAGGATTAGCACACTGGTCTTCGAGGGCAGGGGATCCGGGTACCACCAGAAGATATTGTGGTGGTTTTGTTGCGAGATGGTCTGAAACAGAATGGTGCTGTGATTCAGGCTGGCTTTCAACTCGAAGAGGAGCTCTTTAGATATTTCAACAACGTGTATATTGTCGATTGTCTCCATAACGATGTCCTTGGCATTGACCGTTACCTCCGTGACATTTATCTGGAAAAAGAAAATATGTTTACTATCGGAAAAATCGATAAATATTCGAAAAAATGTTTTTCAGAAAAAAAAAATCGATAGCTTGATATAAAATCTTTAAATTTCGATGAAGCTAACAAAACGATAATTTTTGATAAAAGCTAAATTTGTACTATGAAAACAAAAGTTAGCGATCACATTTACTATACTTTTTCATCTCAAGCTCATCGTATCGATAAAATTCTACCTGGTACGCAATGCCGCCCACTTGGACCGACAAGGCGTCATCGTAGGGATGATGTCGTTGGGTAGCCACGACGCCTATATAGTAGACGCACTTGTACAGATACCAAGTGTTCATCATCCAGCTGTTGATGCGCAGCAGAATCAGGGGATCAAACTCGATGGCAAAGTGCCTCTCGAAGTCAAGCTTCTGCAGGTTCAGGCACTCGGGATTATATGGCTTGCACATGGCCACCGAATGGTGCTCCGTTTTCTGCCCCAGCACCGACATGAAGAACATATGACTGGCAGTCAGCGACTGGTAGGCATCCCGATGCAGCCACTCGCGCTCCCGGACGATCTCCTCGAAGATGCCGCTCAGTTGGCTGAAGATGTCCGCCATTAGGGTGGCGCCGCGGTAATCGATTGGCTTCAGTTTCCCTATAATGTGCGTGGCCAGCGAAGTAAGCTGCTCCAGCTGGGACCCCGTGTGGGCCGCCGCCTTCTGTACATACGAGTAGACCTGACGTCCCTCACCCGTCGACCTTATCAAATTTGAGGCGGCTAAGCTCGTGACAAAGGCCCTATTCCACTGGCCATGTAGCAGCAAATGGGTCACATTCTCCATTACATAGTCGATCTTACTTCTAAAGATCCTATATATTGGTATCACCCATACACGGCCTTTCCGGTCCACACACATATCGATGTTATCGCAAATCGAGATCTTCAGCCCCTGGGTGGCTGGTAGGGTCACTTTAAACCTTTTGTACGGCACATTCGTGGCGATAACCCCGGTATCCGTCGTGTAGCGAAAGGTCAGCGGGCTGTAGTTCGTCTCAAAGCCCAGGCAACTTATTTCAAAAATCGTAATGCTCTCCAGACCAAACATTGGAGACACTCTGCAATCTCCCTTTTGAGGACCGTCGTTTCTGCGCAGCGTATAAAAGGCTTCCACCCACCTCTTGTTCTCCATCTCCATCTTGAGTCGAATGTATAGATGGGGCTCTTGGTGGTGAAGAATCAGATATTTGTACCGCGATTCTAGGTGGGGTGCATCTCCCTCCGGCAGCACCCACCACTCATACCTCTTAATCTTGCCCGGACAGTCGTCGCATTTGGGGATCAGATGAACACTTTCGATGGGGGCATAGACGCCCAGGTCGCAGTTACGACGGCAGAGGATTTGGGGAGTAAAGGACTTCATGGTGGTACCCCTTACCACCTGGGAAACGGTTTTCCGATTCCCCGGGTCGATTCGCGAAGCTACGGTCAAAGTGAAGTCGTAGTCGGAATTCGGCTTGAGGGCATTTGCTGGTAATCTTAAGGAGGGCACTAGGAAAAAATTTTATAATTATGTAGCCTGAACTTTATTTCGGAATATTTGCTAACTATAATGTACTGTGATTTAATATAATCGGATACAGATTTTACTGCATTCACTGGCTTATTAAATAAAATATTAACAAGATTAATTTTTTAATTTAACAGTCAATAAAATTCGTAAGTCTGTTTAAATCGTAAAGACCTAAAACTACTGGTATTGCAAATAATAAGAACTCACCCTCTGACATATATTTTTTGCAATATTTGTTTTCTGGATCGTCTAGACTGCGACAGCTCCAAAAGAAATCCTTCGATTCAGTAGATTCCGTCTTTTTCATTCTGTCCTTGCTGCCGGACCCATCGAGGGAAATTGGTTTTCGTACGTCGACCTTCCGTCGCTCATTGCCCTTGATTTGAGGTTCAACTTGGGGGGTTCTGTACGTCACATAGCACTGGAAGAAGTTCAAAGACTGATGGGTTATACATTTCTCCTAGAGCTTGTACACTCACACGAGCTACCGTAAATAAGTCATTTATTATGGCTTCTACTCGTAACAGAAAGACTTTTGTTCCTTGTGGATTTTTCCGGAATTTTAGACGGTACGGCAATAACTTTAAAACAAGTCCTACGGCTCCCTCTGCCTGACCGAGAAATTCTGTGATACGAAAGTATAATATTACTAAAATATCTGACGATTATTTAAGTTTTAATCTTTATGATTAGAAAATAATTTGGAAAGCGTAATACAAAACATAATTCTATGAAATGGAAATGAATTTAACTTACTTTTCTCACGAATATCGTAAAATAGCCATTTCACATTTTTATACTTCACTAGGGGACACTCATCACCTATAGTTGCGAAGAATTCCACATGACCCCAGGGAGAGAGCACTACTGCTTCTTCGGGGTTCTTGCAGAATTCTAAGTTCAAAGAGGGTATGCAGGTCACATGTGGGGGTCTCCGCACTCTAATTCTCCTACGCACCACATGTGCCAATAGCCTCCGCCTGTCTTTCATGGATTTTACTTCGGCGATAATGTATTGGTGCTTCGTACTGTAAAATGTAGCTGTGCTGCGGTAATAATAACAACTCCTATATTTAAGTCCATAGCCATGTATGCCAAACCTTTGCAGTAAAGCCTTTAAGTTTGTTGTATAACTCCAACCAGTATATTCGACATCGACGGCCGTATCGATCTCATTGATTAAATAATCTTTGGTATCCACCGTAATTGTGAGCACGAAATTATTCTTGCCCAGACTGGGCAAAGTCGTGAAAATGTAATATTCTTTTCCATATACCAGTTTCGCTTTGATGTACAAGTGCACTTGTAGGCCTCGCCTTCTAGGCCTATTAGGTCCACGATCTCTTTCAAAGTAGCTCTCCAGTGGTGATCGGTTTTTCAGACAGGGTAATTTAAAGTTAACATCCTCTGTTTCGTTTTGAAACTCCGATGAGTTGGGACTCTCGCAAATTGAGCTTTTGTTATATATGGGATACCAACGTTCCTCAATTTGTGGAAGTGAGATATTTCGATGTACTCCCTTATTTATTTCGATTTCACTTTCCGCCGTGAAGTTTCGACTATCATAATCTTCTAGGACCGGAGGTTCAAGGGGTTTATTAATCAGGGGTTGCCATAAATTCGGATAACTATTCTGTTCTTCATTATACAAATCTTCCAGGCTTAACTTTTTACTTATTCTAGTGGGTAATATATAGGGGGTGTTATCGTAATCCCTAAAACTAGAGAAGTCGTAGCTTTGATTAAGAACGGGATCCCATAAACTCTCAATCCTTTTTTGTTCCTCTTCGACAGCTAATTTTCTTTGACTGTCGTCTTGATCTTTTCTTGACCGTAACATTTTACTTAACCTAGAGGTTTTGGAGGTATACCGAACCTCTGCGCTCCTTAATGATTGAGAACTTCCGGTGGAAAGATTGTTACCCTTCAGGAAGGTTCCATCCAATAATGCCATTAATGGGGTTCCGTCGTTTTCCATGATCAACATTAGCGATATCGATGTGGTCATGAGGTACAAGAACAATTGCATAGTTCAGACAAGCGGCTCAATACATAGATCACCATTTTGCTCACTTCTCTCCATTTTCGATTTAAATTTGACTCAAGAAGCAAGGTGTAAAAATCGCCTGATGTGGCAGGGTAATTTAACCAGACCTGTTCTTCCAATTTTATAATTGCATAGTACTCGAACTGCGAATGTGTGGTTGACAGGCGACATGACATTTTACCGCAGAAAATTCGTTTTTCTTGTTGGATTTTTGTACCTTTTTTGAACTGCCCTCTTGTTTGCCTTTTTCCTGTTCCTGTTACTGTTGTTTTTGTTGTCGTGTCGCTGCCTACATAATTGTTTTAATTAATTGCGAATTGTGCATGCAAAAAGCATAAAGTGCACTTCAAATGTGTGAAAAGGAACAAAAGCGTGAAAGGCCTTTCTGCACAGCTGGTAATTTATTGACCACAATAGCATCCAGAATCAGCGTCATCAACAAGAGCGATTACAGAACCGGCTTAACCCCAACCAGAAGGCTCATCCTCGTCCCCATCCTCACCTCCATCTCCATCCTGGATCCCATTTCCATTTCCATTTCCATTTGCACAGTCCATATAAATCAAATGAAATTAACTGAGAGGGAGCGAGCCAACGACGAGCAGCAAATAGAGTGTTGAATTTTTATAAACCACAAAAACAACGAGCATTGACAATAGACAATCATACTTTATTTACTATAAACTTCACACATGCATAGTGTTTTTTATGCCAGGAGGTTGGGCAACGGTGCTGGGGCAAGACAGGCGACAATTTCTTAAATTGTTCGAACAAATGAGAATGGAATAGAAGTAATGGAAGCCAAGGAGAAACCCATTTGCAGGCGAGCGCACGTCGCATAAAAAATAAGGCAGCGGGAAAAAGTGGAAACTGATTTGGTCCTTCGAAATGTTTTCGACATACTCTTGTATTATTAAAATCGAGGACCAGGGAATTTTCGAAGTTGGTCCTAGGGAATTTTATTTTAAGATGTTATTAATCCTTACATATCAGATGATATCTTTTTTTATTTTTAAAACATTTAACCTATACATATTATTTTGAAAATATTCTTCGAAGAAGGGTCAAAAACCTTTACATTTTCTATAAAGCTTTGAATTAAACAAAGTAATATTAAGTTTTTAAAATTCGTTTGTTTTTCAGACATAACTTGGCTTGTCTTCGATATATACCCCTCCAAAAAAGTGTATGAGAACTTTAACAGTAAAGAAAAAACTCGAGCAGAAAAAAAAGGAAGAATGGAGCATTTTACGATTTAGCATGTGTGGACCAACTGCGAGTCGGGTGGTTGGGGCTTGGGTTCGGAGCCTGATGAACCGGCGGACTGAAGGACGGACGCACGGAGCTCCAGTGGAGGACCGCCAAGTTCAGCACTTTGGCGCGTCAAGTGCTTTTCATTTTCCGAGCACGTCGCCGCGTCATAAAACAAAAACGCATGAAGCGCAACGGCAAAGGCGAAGCGGGGCATTCGGGCACGTTTAGCATATATATTTTCACACTTGCAATCATACTTTAAGCAGAAAAGTACACTCTCACACACGCCGAAGTTTCACGGTAGAGATGGAAGCCCCTAAAAAACCGAAGAAAACAGATGTCTTAAGAACGGTTAAGAAAAGTGTATGAACTTTATTTGAAAAAATAAGAAAATTAGTCAACAATATTTTCTTGAAATCAAAGATAAGTCCTAGATATATAAGTCAATTAAAGACAGTCCCCTTTCTAATAAGACCATTTGATGAGATCTAATCAATATATTATGGTTTTTCTTTATCAAGACCATGTTGCTTTTCTACCACCCCCTTTAAAAGGATTTTCCATATTTGAATAGTTTTTTAGTCCCATCTCTAACTCATCTCCCACTCATGACACTGATACCAAGTTTGGGGTCGGGCCGGGACTTTCTCGTATCTTCATTTTCACTCGCAGCCAAAAGCCGTGCCATAAAAGTGCGTCGGGATTGTCGCCAAACTTTTGCTTTCTTTACTTGCTCTTTTTTACCCTTGTGTTTGCCTTGGTGGGCGTGATGATAATAATTTCAAGAGGCATTCGACTGGGGCGTTTATCTTTGCTTTTTTTTTGGTTCTTCATGGCGGCGGCTTTTGGTTACGCTTTAATTAAAATGTCATAGACCCCGTGAGCGCAGCTTAATTACCGAGAATGATAAAATTTCATAAATAATGTACTTTGCGGATAAATTAATATTAATGCGAGCGGTTGGCAGACAGGCTGAAAAGTGTCTCGCAGTCGTCTAATAGATGTCAGCTCTGCTGACATTATTAACCGAATCGACTTATCACTTGTCGCCGGGGAAGGGTTGGGCACTAAAAGGATTCTGCTAGATGTGCCATAATTTCTGACACTAATGACAGATAATGTTTTCCGAAACTCAGTACATTAAATATTCCAAATGCGAAATAGTTGCGACGCATGTCATTATAGTCCCCGGAGAAAGTTCAAAGCGCCGTGGAGCTCATCATCCCCGTCTCCAACCCCTTTATTATCATCGCCGGATTGGCATCAAATGCTTAATGGATCTGAAAGCAGCGTGAAACCATTCTGCAATCCTTTTTGTACCCATTACCCTGCCAGCTCATCCACTCCATCCATCACGTGGCTGAGAACTCTTTATGCTCACAAACTTTCCGGCTGGAGCTTTTTCGATGGCCCCAGGGCTCGGGGATGGCTGAGGATGGTGGTTTGTTTTGGCCCGGTCGGATCCGGCGGTGACGTCTGTTTCGGCCACGTTGGCAACTTTGCGTGCGGTTTGTCCCCGGTCCGAAGTTCTCGGCCCCTGCGCCCTTTAATGATCCATGCCGCAAATGAATTGCAGTCGAGTTGCAATTGCTGCACTTGATTTGCGGTGCGACTTAATGGTTAACAATTATCTGGTGGCTTTCTGGGGGGCTTGGGGAAAGTTCACTGTTCCTGAAGTTGACACTAAGTGTGCGGCAGTTGGCACATTGACCAGATTCAAGGGACGGTCAACCAAATGCCCCAAATTAAAGCAAACTGGGGTGGAGAGCTAGGATTTTCACCAGGAAGCAACTTCTCAAAGTCCAGATGAATGATTCTTTGCTAAAGCTGTTCTCAAGTCATTAGATTAGATATAGCACATACATTTTACAGTATTTCTTTTTATCCAAACAAAAAATGTTCTAGTCATTGAGACATCAAGTTAAAGAAAACATTTTATGAGCATGTATATTCTACATCTTATAGGGACTATGAGTTTAAGTTCCGGAATATACATTTTAGGATGGGAAACTAAATCTATTTTGAATGATCATGATTTCTTTACCTTAATCTTATTACGCTCCTTATCTCATAAACGAACTTCTTTTGTGAATTTAACCACTGATTGACGGACATCCCTTTAGATTTATCGGTCGCAACTAACCACGAAAATGTGTCAGCGACAATTACAAGAATCCGGGACCGCCGTGTACCGGCACGCGGCCACGCCCACTCCATCCGCAGCCCCTTCCGGAAGCCCATCCTCAGGCAGCACAATATCAATTATCGGGCTTCAAGTGTCGCTCAAGTGTCACGTCAAACACCAACACAAAATACGAGCAAAGAGCATCGAGCATCGAGTATCTAGCATCGCGAGCACACATGACAATCCAGTTTCCGCCCCCGGGATATCCTGGCTGCACTTTCCCACCCAATCCCAATCCCAATCCCATCAGGATATGCTCCTTTATCGCCCGCCCCACAATACGTGTATGTAAGTAACATTTTGCGCTTTTGACTTTGATTGATTACAAAAGCAATTGAGCATATCGTCACGCTGGCTCAGAAAAAAAAATAATAAGAAATCGGGCAGAGCGAGGCAAACAAATTAACATAAATAAAAGAGGCCAAAGAACCAAATTTTCATTGACAGCTTCCGGCAGAAGGAAAAGCGGAGCGCAATTAGAAGAATCCAATCAATCCCCCGAATCCCACCTTCCCATTTTAATGGGCAATGCCTTGTAATTTTCATTAGGGCGCCTGATTTTCCAAAATCGCTTATGGCTGTGAGATTTCCATGGGGAACTTCTTCTCAGACAGGCCCGCCATTAATTAGCCCAATTGAAGCGGGCCCAACGACACCCTTTGAAAGGCTAATGAAAATAAAATTGCAATTACATTTAATTGATAAACTAATCAACAAAGGTCGACAGGCGTTGATTGATGGGCTTTCTTCTGCTTTTTAAATTGTAAAAAAATATTTGGGCCGTACCTAATGAGGCCTTCAAACGTTAAGGCAGTGGGAAAGTTTAAAACTTTTAGAAATCTCTAATTAAACTTTCTATTCAATCATTTTTATTATACCAATATTAAGATAGCACTATTTAAATATCGTGAAAATATTACTTTCAAATGTGGTAAAAATACTACAAGGCCCTATACTTAAAGCTATCAAAACCTTTATAATATATTAATGTATAAAAGTTGTTCTAATATGGTAACATAGAATCCATTAAAGGAGGAAAATAAAATATAAAATACTACGGACACACTATTTACTATAAATATCCATTTATTAAAAGTTTGTGTAATGTTGTAGCTTACATAAACCCACCGAACTTCAAAAGGACACCTTTAAGGCAGCTCTCTCGAATAAAATCCAATGTGGAGCACTTAGAGGACTGCTTCGGCATTAGGGAACACACATACGTGTGAAGCGGTAACTTGATGTGCGGCAGTTGCAGCAGTTTGCCTTTTGCTTTACTTTTAATTACCAACTCAAATTACACGCGCAGACAGAAGACAGACAGACAAAGGCGGAACAGCTGTTTGGCTTGTTCTCGGCCAGGAACCAAGCCCGAGGAGAATCGGTGGAGAGCCGGTGGAGAACCGGAGGAGAATCGTCGTTCCAGTATCGCAATCGCAGAACTCGGGGCCCGGAGTCCAAAGGCAACCGCAGAACCCGACTTGCTACAGAACCACCGACCGTCTGCAGACCATCGTTTGCTGCACATTTCATTACAATGCCATTGTATTCAAATCCTATTATAAAGCGTAAAACACTGGGGGAGTGGGCGGAAAAGGGGGAGTGGCGGCAGGACTTCATGTTTGCAGCACGTTTCCACTTTCGCACTTGGTAAACATAAGTTGCCCACGCAGACACACACACACACTGGCGAGGAGATTGCGTCCCGTCCGCCACACTCCATAAAATAATTACCAACACCATTGCAGGAACAGGAGCTTTGGTCGTACACTCGAAAAAAATGGAGCTCCCCTGTAGAAATTTGATGTAACAATTGGCATCTAAGCAAATTAAACTATATTTTTTAATAAATAAATCATATATAATATAGATGATTTTATGCTAAGTATTTTTTTAAACTTTTTTAACTAGTAAATATTTAAGATTGTTAATGGGGCATAGACAAATTTCAACAAAAATAACGTCAAATGTACTCCCAAAAGTAAGGTACTTTCAAAAGTGATTTTCTTTAAAATGACTTACTGTTTAAAAAATATTGATATACATTATTTATTTGCAAAAACCGTAATATTATTTGCAAAACCGAAAAACTTCTTCTTTAGGGGGTGAGTTTCCCATATGTAGGGGTTTATTTTTATGAGTGTACTCTACCAGAATGGACTCTGAAAAGTGGGTGGTGCCGAGAAGGAGGTGCATGAAGCCGGAAGACTTCCATTACAAATGCCGCGCACCCAGCTTGGAAAATTGAAAAGAATAGAGCGAGAGGGAGAGTCCGAAAGCGAGAGAGAGACAGAAAGAGCTACGAAAGGAGCAGAAGCCACAGTTAGAACCGATGTGCTTAACCCATTACTGCCTGGATAGCCAATTAAATAAATATAAGCGGTCCCATCGGACTAAATTGGATTTTGGCTTACAGTTGCACTCACTAAAATGTAGCAAAACAATACCAGAAATATTAACTTGGATTTTACATATATGTTTTTAAAACAAATTCTTCAATTTAAATATTATTTAATGATTATTTCAATAGATGTACGCCTTGTAAAAATGGTGTAAGTATTCAAAATGATTATTTTTCCATAATCAGCAGTGCCAGCAGATCTGCTTATCTGGCTGGCTGCCTTGAGCACTTGAAAATTTAGAGTTTAAGGTCAACAATGGTTTTTTGTATTTCTTATCGAAAACGTCTCGGCACGTGCCTAATAAAAATATAGTGTTGATAGTGCTAATCGAAAAATAAATATATTTCTCAGAGAAGCTTATTGAAAAACCTATGGTTTGTGATTAATTTTGGATTCAAATTAAGTCAGTATCAGAGAAAATCGAAGAAAAAAATGTCATTGCTTAAAATCTATTTGTAGAAATTCCAAACCCCAGTGCCCTGTTTTTCGACCAGAGTTTAAGTGCATGCGACCGGAGAGAAGTGAGGATGGGTCACCGCAACATTTGCTGCGACGGCTGTGAGAGGCGGGACTTCCGAGGTCGCCGCTACCGCTGTTTGCGCTGCGTAAACTTCGACCTGTGCGGCGATTGCTACGACAGGCGGTTTGAGTCTCCGGATCATCACACCGACCATCCCATGCAGCTAATCCCGGACCCGGATGATCCGCAGCCGAGTCTGCTGCTCAACGGCGAAGTGCCGGAAGTGGTGCACCTGCCCAATTGCTTCACCTGTCCGTATTGCGGAGAATTCGGCCACACGGCCAAGCGGCTGATCGAGCACGTGTGTGGACGCCATCGCCTGGCCGAGGGCTATGTGGTCTGCCCCCTGTGCGCCGGACTGCCGGCCGCCGAGTTGGTGGCCATTCGCAATCTGTCGGGTCATCTCCTGCTCAACCACATCGATCACGCCAACTTCCTGGAGCCGGAAACACCGCCCCTGCGAAGGACATTCAACCGGAGTCGCATCCGCCGACGGCGCTTGTTGCAGACGCAACAATTGCAGCAACCCAACAACGTGATCCTGCAGCTCGCCGCTGCCCCTTGGGACCCCACCGATCCCCAGGTGCCCCCCAGCATTATGGTCGATCCGCCAGAGGATCAGACTCCTTCCAGCCCGATCATTGTGGAACCCCAGCCCAAGGAGCAGCCCGAGCAGTATCTTCTGCTGCAGTGGGTAGCGCAGCAGGAAGTGCGGTGCCAGCAGGAAACGGAAGCGGGCGGAAGTCCACGGCGAAGACACGCCCTCTTCGCCGAGCACCTGATAGTTTCCATGCTGTGCAGCGAGGAACTGCAAATACCCGAGGAGAGGGTCAGGAATCGGGATCAGCGGCTCGGCCTGTCCAAGGTCATGTCGGTGATGTCCTTGCCGTGGACAAGAGCCTGGCAGGCCACCCAGCTGGGCGGTTCGGAAGGCGAGGGATCCGGGATCCAGGCAGCCACCAAGCCAGAGATCGTTCTTGTCGATGGGCGGGAACAGCATGCGAAACCGGAAAAAACTCCGGTTGAGGAGGCCATTGATTAGGTGCCACATGGCCAATTTTGTCTATGTTTTCATTTCCCAGCATGTTGATCCCGATTTGTGGTTGTGTTTTTATTTCAATGCCAGAAACAACAAAATTTTTGTGATCCCTTTGGCCTGTATTTATACTAAACTAAAATGTTTTAAGGTGAAAACAAGGTTCTGTAACCCAAAGTTTTTAATTCCTTGCATTTGTACCCGAATTTGAAAAAGCTGCTGCTGACAAAGCAGTTGCCTAAAATGTCTGTGAAATGCTAGTTGGGTTTTTAGAAATCAAACATGGATTGGTAAATGAAAATGTATGGCTCACATCGGAATAACAATAAGTAATATATAATACATATCTAAAGGATTGGTACATTAACCAATCATTTAATAAACCTTTAATTTTTATATAATATTTTATGAAGAACCTTAGTGTTTTTGAACGATAGGTCCCTCCTTACATATAACAACAAATGTGGCTGCTTGTAAGTTCTTTACAAATTTTTATGTAAGAGGACTTGAAATGCATGTGAACTCTGTAACAGACTTTTCAAAAGGCTTGAAAATTCATCGTAAGTGTGTACGCATAAAAATGTACAGCAAATAAGCCAGTCTGTAAAAAGAAGAACAATTTCCTTGTGGTGATTTTGAAGATTTTTTCCATTTGCAATTAGGAATTCCTTAAAGCATTTTGTAATCAAAGTCTCATAATTTTATTGGTAATTTCAGTGTTAGGCGTTGTTGTGTTTCTTGCATAGTAATCAGCTGTTTACCAGCCCTGCTGTTGCTGCTGCTGATCCCCGAATCCGCCACCGAATCCTCCAAAGCCTTCCTGTTGCTGCTGTTGTTGGCCTCCGAATCCGCCTCCGAATCCACCCTGCTGTTGTTGTTGCTGATCTCCGAAACCGCCACCGAATCCACCTCCAAAGTTTTCCTGTTGCTGCTGTTGTTGGCCTCCGAATCCGCCACCGAATCCACCTCCAAAACCATCCTGCTGCTGCTGCTGTTGTCCGCCCCACTGAGGCGCTGCAGCCGCCATGGCGAAGAGGGCAATGAAAAGGATCTGTGACAAAGGGAATACGAATTTAGTCCTCTTCATATTCCTTGAAGAAAATACCATCAAGAGCTCACCAAGAATTTCATGTTGCTGATGCTTTGGCTAATCTAGCTGGTATGAATGACATTATCGGCCGCCTATGCCCTTTTATACTCTCCCGCAATCTCATCTGTGTCGTCACGAATCCAGATTTTTGAATGTCCAGACAGACCCAGTACATGCCATTAAATTTGACCCAAAAAATTTCCATGCGTCTGGGGTTCCCATGTTTGAGCCCTGATAAGAAATCCAAGCTCAAGCAAACAACCCTTCAAAAACCAGCGGGGTCTGGTTTCAAGCCTCAATAAAAGATAAGAAATATTTAGGTGCTACTTAGAAGAGCACTTTATCGAGGTTTGCTTTAAAACTGCTTGCTTTTCCACGCATTGAAAACGTGCCAAGGTTTATGTGCTCTCAAAATATATAGAATACAGTTTTTAAATAAATAGAAACGAATCAAATACACTCACTGATAACGTTGAGGCCGGACTCCCTTTTTCTTAACTTGATCTCAGTTATAGATTATTCTTACATAATTCTTATCGATTTGTAAGGGATATATTTGTTTGAATGAATTTAATTCATATTTATTATAAATATTAATATTATCATTAAAAAAGAACCATGGTTTTTTATGGTTTTATTTGTATACCCTTGCAGAGAGTGGTCAGAAGCTTGTAGCGACGTTTCGTACTTTATAATCTTGATCAGCGTAACTAGACGAGACAATATAACCAAGACCGTCTATCTAGATCAGAATAAAGGCTAGCGTTTTTAAGAGATCGGATGAAAATAGCAAAGTTGAGCTGCTTTTAAGCTGTCGGGCGGCTATAATCTATAGCTACCATGCTAGCCATAGGGTGAATAGGATACAAGTTTGATGTTTTTTTAAGATATATGCCTACGTATTGTTGTTAAATGCTAATATTTTAAGTTAAGTCATATTTTAATTCATAAAATTAGCACGGGTATTAAGACTTCCGTTCTAGTTTATTATTAATATAATCGCTGTCAGTGTTGTAAATATTTCTGTAATGCTGAAGAAATATTTATATTTATTAGAATTAATGAACGGTTGTCAGAGTGTCAAGGTAAACAATTTTTTACATCCTTTATAATTCCGCCTAAAACGATGCTTTTAAATTACCAAATAAGTCTTCGCCAAAATGTATTCTTTGGGAAATTTCAATGTAAATCACAAAGCTTTTACTCGGCGCTTAGCTAATCAGTTTTGAAATAATCAAAACAAATTAAGAAAAAGAAAGATCAGGCTAAGGGTCTTCATCCCTGATCACCAATCAGCTCTGTCAAAGCTGTGCTAGAATTTTGTCATCTCATCTCAGACAATTAATCTAGCAACGAAAAGTAAATTCAGCTTGGGGTATATAGATTTCACGTGGAAATATTAAAAAAAAAAAAACAAAAATTGAATTTATTACTTTGTTTTGGTGACGGACGCTGCAAACAGTCCACCGGTCGCTATAAAAGACCTGATCGCCGACTATTAGTCAGTTAGAACGCTTTCGACGTTGTAAACAATCAATCAACCAAAATGAAATTCTTCGTAAGTTTTTTAAAGTCTTTAAAAGGATTTTGGTGGAACAAGAACCTAAAGATTGTCTTCCTCTTCTCTCCTTGTAGATTGTCTTCTTCGCTTTGATCGCTGTCGTCTTTGCTGGCTATGGCCAGGGAGGACACGGACAGCAAGGATTTGGCCAGGGAGGACATGGCCAGCAAGGATTCGGACAGGAAGGACACGGCCAGCAAGGATTTGGCCAGGGCGGACACGGCCAGCAAGGATTTGGCCAGGGAGGACATGGCCAGCAAGGATTTGGCCAGGGAGGACACGGCCAGCAAGGATTTGGACAGGGAGGACACGGCCAGCAAGGATTTGGACAGGGAGGACATGGCCAGCAAGGATTTGGCCGGGGAGGACACGGCCAGCAAGGACACGGCGGACGTTACTAAAAAACGAATTCAATAAACAAACACTAAAAATACAAAACCCTTAAAAAATGAGTTTTTAATTTTAAAACATTTAATTAGGCAAGTGTTACACTTTTTCTTTAGTTTTCCACCTTTAATTTTTTTTAAGGATATAATTGCAATATGGAACTCCCAAATTAAATTATATCTTGTTAGATCTGTAAAACAATCTCAAAAGATGAAATTCAAATATATAAGACTCTGATCTGATAATGCAATACATTACACATTCAACGAAATTCCATTATCGGCTGATACATATATGAAAAATGTGTGTATAAATACAGCGGGTTTGCGTATTGCAATGCGCATTTTGAAGATCAAGCAGAATGAAAGTGCTAGTAAGAAAACACAGCTTTTCCGCATACAATACTTTTTCAAAATTAATAAAAATATTTTTATAATAGCAAATATTCATAGTTTACTTGGCGGTTTCGCTAGCTCGAAGTTCCCATAATGAGTTATACGAAGGAAGCGGTGGTGGGTCCTACGAAGAAGGAGTTTTTCATGGATCAAGCAGGCCAAACCACTTAGGGGGCTGGCCACGTCCGGTACATTGGAACCGCCCGGGATCCTGGCAACATGCGGGAAGCTGGCAGGGACCAGGAGGCTGGAACAATCCCGGTCCCTGGCGAAGTCCTGGAGATTGGAACCATCCCGGCCCTTGGCAAAATCCTGGAGGCTGGAGCCACAACAACCCCGGTCCTTGGCGAAATCCCGGACATTGGAACCATCCGGATAGACTTCCTCCTGGTTACTCTGGTGGGCAAAATCCCGGTGCTGGATATCCAGCTGGCCACCATCCTTTCGGTGGATCCCTAGGAATCGGAAAACCGGATACTGTTAGTGAAAGACCCAGCAATGGAAATAGCGGTGGTGAAAATTCCGATAGTGCCGGGCGCGGACAGACCAGCGGAAATATTGGCAGCAAGTACGAGATCATTGACTTGAAGGCCTCATCATTTTAAATAATAAATTCGGTTGGTGGGAGTCGAACTAAGAATTTTCAGCATTAAAAATGAAGTAACATTATATAAAAAATGTAACGAAAATATCTTTTAATATAGTACACTTGGCAAATAAGAAGGTTTAGTTTAGTATAAAACCATTTTTTGTTTACTCTACATGGAATTTTAACCAAAATAATATTTTATCCTTACACTTCTTATCTTAAAGCGCCGGACAAAATTGTAAATATATGAAATACCTTATTTTCCACTACATAATAGTATGCCATTATTTCGTTACTTTTTTTTACCAGTCTTTGTTTGATACATATAAATATATAAGCCCGACTTATTCTACTCGTCCTCTTTGTACAAAAACAAAATAAAGTACTACTGTATTTTATTTTGAACATTTTTTGTTTCCAGTATCTGTAAACTAATGGGTGCGATTGCTGTTTTTCAGACTCTTTTTCGATTATAGAACTGCCCTATCAATATTCTTCGTAAGACCGCTTTGTTCCAAGAGTCAAAGCATCACTCAAAATGAGATTACTGGTGAGTTGGGAGCAATACTCTGCGATTGCAGAGCCAGAATTTTTCACAAGCAAAATGTAAAGGCATTGAATTCAAAATTTCAGGTAATCATAGCTTATGTTTTGGCAGACTCTTCTTGGATCAAGGGCCAATGGATTGGTCACAGAGGACAGAGAGCATTAAGGAGCGGGACTTATTCCCTAACGCCTTCCATTCCCATGAGAGGTCATCCGCTCACAGTCACCCCAACAGGAAAAGCTCTACCCATTGCCTATGTGGGAAAGGGATTACCAACTCCCATACCTATTCCCAGCTACTCCGAAAATGTCCCAACCATTACTGGCTCCCAACATTTTTTACCAAATTCCGCTCCCAACAGTGAATGCTCTACACTGGTTTCAGTTAGGGGAGGTACCATATTGATTCCCGGCGCTGGAGGTGTCCTACCAGTTCCAGGAAGTAAAGGCGCCTTGATGATTCCCGGCTGCATAAGTATAGCTAACTTTCAGAACCGGGACGGAGTCATCGACTCATCTGCAGACGTTTCCATCGATGGGGGCAGCAAACTTGGTGTGAGAGACCCTGGTGACCAAAAACCCGGCAAAAGTAAATACGAAATCATAGACTTGAGGAATTCCTGAAAGATATACTATTTTGGTTATGTATTAAAAAGACTCAATGGTATCCTATAATGTAATCTTCTGTATTTCGATGAGAAGAATTGTTAATTTTTTTGCGTTTATTCTTCACTGAGATGAAAGAAAAAAATATGTTTTTGGGCTGCCATTGTTATTTACAAATAAATAAGTGTTCTCTAAAAGATTCGTATTGTATGATTTATTAGTGAAGCGTTCTGTGTGCCTGAAAACTAATTCAGCCCAAAAGAATACTGTAAAATCAGCAAAGCTGACACCAAGAAAAATTCTGTGCATTTAATAAACTATAGCAAGTAAAAATCACAAACCTTTTAATCGGGAGTTACCTAATCAGCTCCGAATTAAGTGGAGGATCACGCTCAAGGTATCTTTCTTTATGGCACAAGGCTAAGTCAGTGTTTGGTCAAACTATGTCGTCTCATTGCATGCGAGTAAACATCAAAACAAAAATTAAAATATTATATAAATAATAAATTAAGAATATTATTGGGGCCAAGAAGTAACATTTCTTCATTTCTGCTTTTTTTATAGATTGTCCTTTTCTTCGCCCTGATCGCTGTTGCTCTTGCAGCAGGACGTGGTCAGCAAGGAGGACAGGGTCAGCAAGGATTCGCTCAGGGAGGACGTGGACAACAAGGAGGACAGGGCCAGCAAGCATTCGGTCAAGGAGGACAGGGTCAAGGATTCGGTCAAGGCGGACGTGGACAACAAGGAGGTCGAGGTGGTCATGGACGTTACTGAACAGACTGACTTAAAAAAAGGGATCGAAAAATAAAATTTTAAAAGACATTCTAACCTTTATCTTTGAAATATAATTTATTTGCTATTGTCTTTTTCAAAAAGAACAACCCCGATTATATTTAATTTGTAAAGTTTTACATTGGGACTCTTAAAAATTAAGCTGAACGGCAGCTCTGAGTAATTGGTATTTGGACATAATTTAACTTTAAATACAATACTACAAAAATTGTTTGAAAGCTGATGTTAGAAAAAAGAACAGTCTTTATTTATTATGTTCGCAAATGTTTTCCTATTCGGCAACATATTTCACAATTTAGAAGCTTGAGACAACGCTGTACTTAAATTTTATAACAATCAAGTAAACGATTTCCAAGAAAAGTACAAGATAAGATTGTTTACTCTTCTTTTATTCGAGCATAATAATTTTTAAAGACCGCGAAGACTTATTTAATACATGTGGTTATAAAGTTAGTTTTGTTTACAATGGGATCGCGAAAAAATGTAAGCACTTATGTGCTTTTGTTTTTATCGGTTTATTCACGCGAGTTAAAATAAAAATCGTCACCTTTTCTTTCTGAAGAAAGAAGAAGAATTATTATTGACAAAATTATGATTATCATTTTAAAAAAGAAGAGTATTTAAAAATTGTCAGAGCATACTCATTAATATGCCTTATAAGACAAGCGTGAAGAAGATAGCTCTCATTATTGACAAAATGAAATTGTTGGTGAGCAGTCAAAAGGAGAAAAAACAAAAAATAAATCTTAAATAATTGGGTATTCCAAATTTTTTTTACAGGTTCGGGTTTTAGTAGCTCTGTTGGCATTTTGTTTGTCAACGGCCCAAAAATCCGAGAGCTATGAGTTCACTTCTCGGTTGTTCTGTTCAAACATAGATGGAAAGAGACATTGTGTTCCTTGCTCGACTTCCAATGGAGTAATAACTTGCGTACCAAGTGCCATTAGTGCTTCGATTCAAAGTTATGGATTACCAAGCAATGGAAACAATGGTATTGAAGTAGGAACAACGACAGGCAGTGCTATAAATAATATGGATGCGCCTGGAAACAGATATTATACGGGTGCTTCTGCTCAAAGCAATGGAATCCAAGGTTCTGGAAGCATCAGACCCAACTACGGAAGTAATATGCTCGTAGGTTACTCACCCATTTACGACCATAACACAAATAGTGGTGGAAGAATACTGTCTTCAACTATAAATCCGATCCAGCCTGTTAGAAACAATTACTACTGGAATTCCGCCCAAAGTCAGCGACTTCAAGGTAATGCTAATGGCGTTTATGATAACGGAGGAAACATAGAAAACGGCGGATCAGCATCTTCATATGGCAGTTATATTGACGGCCCTGACAACATTCCCAGTTTTGATTAAAGCCAAAACAATAAAATGTAATCAAAGCTAATCGGCAGATCGAAAGTTAATTTTGTCTTTACATTTGGACTTCTTTGCTAGTTAAATGCATATTTCGATAAGAATCGAGCTTGGTTTGAATTTTCATTTAAAGTTCCCAGAAGCATACTTATTATAAAGTTATTTTCAACACATTTGAGTTATAAGAATATTAACATACCTCCCCTTAAAAATAAAATGTACACAAAATAAAAACAATAGGCTTAAACTTTGGTTATACAAATTGTTGTTTAAATTAATAATTACTATTTCACAATTTTCTTCAGTACCTGCTCGAAAAATAATACATTGTAAGGGTATTTAAAAGATGCAGCACACTTGCACCATTGCATTCTGTATAAAGCCAATGTGCAGATGGCATTTTATATTCATAACAAAATGAACTCACTGGTGGGTAGTACACCAAAGCTATATAAAATAGTGAAAATAATTATTAAATATGTTTTCCTTTCTTTTTAAAGTATCTGTTAATAACGATGGTGTTCGTTTACCTTGGTGAGTCTCATGGGCAATATCAATGGAAATGGGCCATGGCCAACTCATACCGTACTTCTTGTGATTGGAAAACGGGAAGATTTAAATGCACCAAGGAAAGTTGCAAACATTCTTTTGATGGCCGAAAAGAGTGCACCATAAGCGAAGTTCCGACATCTGGCGGATCGATTGGAAATGTTGGATATATGCCGAGCCCAGGGATCGGCGGACCCAGTTCTGAAAACCACGGCTCAGCCAGCTGGGGAAGTAGTTCCAACTACAGAGTGGACAGACCATGGATCCGTGGTCATTCATATAAGACCCAATGTAGAACTCACAACGGAATTAAAACCTGCACTTATCTACGTTGCACTTCGTTCAACGGTAGACAAGAGTGTTCCTCAAGCGATGGCTCAACAAATACCGATCAATTTCACATTGAAAATAATGAACTAAGCCCAAACTTAGGAAATGGTGGTACAACTGGCAGACCAAGCGAAAAAAGCGAAATTTCTCATTACGATTTCCCTGGAAGATTTAACTAATTATTATTATGATTGGCTTACATTAATAATTATTATACTATAAACCTGTCACATTTTTTCTTATAAACTAAAAAGATCGTGACATATCACTTCTAAAGAAGCTACTGTTATCATGGTTGGTTAGCAAGGTTAACAAAGAAAAATCTCTTATCAGCAAATTCTTATTAAAAACATTTTCAAGAAAAAGTACGTAACATTTCAAAGGAAAACTGACAACAGGAAATATAAAAATATGAGAACTGTTCTTTTTACATTCCACTCGTAAATGTGTGAAAAATAATAAAAGTACGAAAACTATCACTTCGACTATCGAGGCCGGAATATAAAGTCCAAATAAATAACCAAATTTCCATTATCAGTTTTAATTATCCGCATATCTTTCTTTAAAAAAAAAATATTGAAAAAAATATGGTACTTTATAAAAACTACAACACTATTGTAAGGGTATTTAATGTTGCATGACAGCCTTATACCATTTACTCTATATAAGGCAAAGTTCGGAACAAAGATCTCATTTCATTTGCATAATGCAGTTTATGGTGAGAGGACTTAAAAGTCAAATATAAATAATTGCAATAGCTATACATTTTTAACCTTTCTCTTACATCAGCTTGTATTAGTCATCTTCATGGTAGTGGTTTTTTCTGTGGCCAACCCTGGATCCTCCTGGCGATATTTCTGTAATTGGAATACAGGACAATATAAATGCACTTATGTGCTTTGCACACATTCATTTGAAGGAAAGCACAACTGCACAACGAGTGTTACAACTCCAAAAGGAGCAGGAGTCATGGGAAGTGCAACCTCTTACAGATATTCTTGTGTTTTGAATACAGGGAAATATAAGTGCACTCACATACGTTGCACACATTTCTTCGATGGTTACAAAAATTGCACAACTAGTGTTACTACTCCAAACGGTGAAGGAGTACCTAGAAGTACGACTAATTTTAAATTACCTGGAGAATTTCCAAACGAAACAAAAAAAAGATAATCGTAGGATCATAACAAACGCTTATCCAATGAGCAATTATTTAACATTCAATCTGAAAACTATATAACTAATAATAATAGCATGAATTTATGAAATTAATACACCATGTCGTGCAAGGCGGCGGCGAAGAGGGCGTGGTTGCACGCGCCGCAACACCGGCAAACAATAGCGATAGGAAAATCAGCTGCAAAGAAGTATTATTAATCAGAATCGGGGTCTGGCTCGGGTCGCGATTATCAGCTCAGCTAAATGTATTCCTGAGCGAACTTACGCAGCTCTTGAAGTCCATTGTAGACAAGTAAAATGTTGCTTTGAATCGCTTGCTTATATACCAATTCGTCGGGTAGCCAATAGATTGGGATCCTATTGGGCAACATGAAATTAAATCCAGCTCACTGCTGATTAATGTATTTGCACTGATTAATATTCAAAATATTTGTAATGTTTACTTATTAAAAATCTGTTTATAATTTATTTGTGAGCTTGTAATAACTTGAATTTGTATTGACCTTTAGTCAAAAAGTAAATTGGTTTGCGTTCCAAAAAGTTTAACTGATATTAATATTAATTTTTTGTGTGTTATTGGTTTTTTCTTGCCCAATGTTTTTATTGCCACTACCCATTTGAATTTATGTACTTCTTTACTCACTCACTTATGTAATTTGATTTTTATTTTATATGCCAAACATTTAATACAAAATAACAAATGTGTTTGATACATTTATTACACTTTTTATAGAACTACATGTTTCTAAATTTAAATGTTTTAAAATAATGTTTGAGAATCCTTCTTTATTAGTAACCATACAAAAAAGGCTTTGTTTTCATTTCGTAAAAATGCATTTCCTCAAAATACTCCACACTGTGTAAATCAAAAATGTGGTAAAACAACCGGAAATTTATTTGAGTGGGTGTTGGGTGGAGTGCCCAAGTCGAGGGTAAATAAAGGAACTGGAAATGCGTAAGTGGCATTTTCAGGTGTCTTCGAATTTCACTTCTGCAGGAGGTTAAAGATGCAGTCAAGTGCAAAAGACCAACCGGTGAGGACTATTTTTGCCAGCCAGCCCCCAGCCCCATTGGGTCAGCAGTTGTTGTATCTGGAAACTTCCGGTTCGTCACTCCTATTTAACACTGTGGCCGGGGACTACGAGTGGAGGGCTGCGATGTAGAAACAATGTGCAGTCATTGAGCGCAAATGTGCCAAATAATGACTTGCAGGCGAGCGAGTGCAATTTATATGATAAGCAACAAAAATAAATTGCAAGCAATTCATTTTACTTAAATGCAATGCAGGCAACAACAACTGCCGAGTTGGCAGCTTTATTTTACCCCTTTTTCAGGTGAGCAGTTGCGTGTGTGGAAGAAAAATACTTGGTTCGGTTCGGATGTGCGCACATAGTATATATCATTTTAATTTTTCTGCTATTCTGCTACGACTGCAAACCTACTTGATTTACTTGGGTGCTGCCTAATGAAGCCACCGCAAGAAATTGAAAATGGAAATCAGCAGCAGAAACATCGACTGTTTAGGTTTAGATATTCCTAAAAACATTGCATACTTTCAGAGAATTAATTAAAGTGAGTCTTGTCTCTGTACTTTTTAGTAAAATAAATACAAATTTTTAGATTTCTGATAAAAAAGTTACCTATAATATGCATTTTTTTGTGTTAATTAATCTTTAGAATCGCTCCATTTTTATTACTATTCAGTACATTGATTTCATCATCAGAAAGGTAGTCACGTGGAAAACTAAAACCTTTGTTCCTTCCATTTCCAGTTTTCGGTTTTTTGGGATTCATGTTCAACAGCTGCCAAATTTCAGGAAGTCCCCCGTTTTCCATCTCGTGTTGCTAATGAGGCGACTGCGGCAGCTAATTGGCCCAGGCTAAGGCTTCAAACGAAATCGATGGGAAATTCGAGCTCTGCCCCCAAATGCCACAGTTTCAACAGCTTAAAGTGCTTGTAACGCCAGGATGGGTACGTGTGATGGGTTTAGATACATTTTTTTTAATTTATTGCCTGCAATAAACATGAAGCGAGTGCGAGGAAAAGTAACTTCAGAATGGCAACGCTGGGAAAAGTAGCAGCAGCAGCGGCAATGCGCAATTCTGACAACAAGGACACATCCAGTGGTCCATGGTGATCGTATTCATATGCAAAATTAATACTGGTTGGGGACTTCAGATGGGGACTTTGGGTATGGAAAGTTCAAGCGCCGACCAGGCCAGGTGCGATGTCATTCAGCGGACACACAAAGGACACCAAGAATTGCAGGATGTTGGTCCAAGGACACACAGTTCTTGCACAATCGAAATACCCTCACACGGGGATTTATAATCTTAAGCATTAACAACGTTGTTTAAATATGTTAAATTAAAAATAAATATATAAAATAAAGTTAATAGAAAAACTATCAAATGTATTAAATCGTATTAAGCTGTTTAAGGGGCTATATATTAAGTTTTAAATTGAAGGATACTATATCTTTGATCAGCTCACCTAAATAAAGGAATTATTGGAATTGCTTTTTATGTTATCTATTAAATATCTCAATGTATCATTGCAAAAGTAAAAATATAAAACTTTATTTTTATTAGAATAATAATCTGTTAAACCTTATTTACCTAGAGCATTTACTAATAAATTGCTGAAATAATAACATTTCGATAAGGCCCAATGACTTTTGTTTGGTTTTTGATTAACTGTTTGTATATTATTTTAAAGTCAAGGCTCATAACATGTTTTTAAGCTCTAGAGCAAGCTTTTCTTTAGGTTGCCACGAATTGATAAACTAAATCTTGTCAGTAAGTGAGAAATCCAGATAGTGTCATAATAGACTAGCTTCCGCCCTTAAATACTATGCTCTAAATTAAGGAATTAATCTTTAATCTCATGGAATAGCCGATGTACTCCATCTGGTAACACATCTCGGCCTGCAACAGCGAAGTGCAGCACATCCGTTGACCCGACAGCTATAGCCGAGGCAACCTGTTCCGTCATCACTCTTCGCCTCCGCATGGCCACTGCCACTGCCACTGCCCCATCTTTCACCTTTTCGCCCCCCGTTTTCGCTCGGTGTATGTGCTGCGTCCTTCATTGTTGAAAGCTGAACCTTGGGAGCAATCAGTGGATTATACGCTGCTTTACAAAAGCGGGCGTCGCGCCGCCATTCCAGTAACCAGTTCCCAGTCCCAGTCCCCAGAAGACCTATGACCCGAGCCGCCCCCTGGATGCCCCTGATGCATTCAACACTTTTTTCAGCCCCGCTCATTGTTCGTTAAGAGTTGGCCCTGTATGTGGGTGGGATGCAACATAAATTTAACTGCGAGCTCATGGAGCCGTGTGACAAGGCCGCAGGAATTCAAAACAAAAGTTGCAACAAATACCGAACACGCCATAAAGACAACAACAGCAAACACATAGACATAAATTGCAGGCTTGGCCACTCCACTCCACCCGGTTATAGCCCGTTCCCACTACCCACTAGTACTGTGGGCCGGTCCTTTCTGTCTCTGGCAAGCAGAAAGCAAAAAGAATGACAGGAAACCGGATGTGAGTGCATGCCTTTTGTGCATGCAACGAATTATTCAGTTGACACACAGGATGTGTGCTTTGCTGTTCATGTTGTTGCCACTGCCACACTGCTGGTTGCAGTTGCTGGTGGCTGGCTGCTGGGTACTGGATTCTGGCTTTCCTCGGAGGATCTGCGCCCGGATCCTAGCCCAGTTCCCTCTGCATTTTTGGTTAATTTCGTAACCATGACAATTGGTGAAAAATTAACACACCCCCACACCCAGCAGTTGTTAAAGTAAAAAGCAGGGATTGCGCAAAAGGAGCTTAGCCGGGTAAACCAGTGGAAAATGTTATAAAAGTGTAGTTATTTTTATAAAAACTAGGTTTGACCATTCATACCAAAAAAAGTTATTTAGGTTAAAATCTGTTCTCTGTACCTCCAAGATCTTCTTAAACAAATTTTGCAATAAGTAGATATGTCCTTGTGTTGTAAAATACAAGGCCAGAGATTGTTTAGGAATTTAGGATTGTTTCCTAAATTCTACGTAATCTCGTTTTCTCTGTGTAAGATTTAAATTTAACGCATTATTAAAGTCTCTGGACGTCTATATGGTACTTTAACATATTCAAAGAAAGATGTGCAAATTAAAATACCTTTTACCATCCCAAATGCATATACTCGTACTCATGTAGGAATTATTTTTGTAAAGTACCTGACCCCCTACTTAAACACCGTAAATGCGGAAGCATTTCATTTTACCACACCCATACAATTTTTAAAGAAATGGTTCCATTTTATGTGGACAAAACTCATAAATTATAAAGGAAACCCAAAGGAGAGTGGAAGGTCGATGCCAAAAAAGGAAGAGGGATGTCTGCGTGCGATGAAAAAGAAGAGTAATCAAAAAGTGCGTGCTAACTAAATTGTTATTGCTTTCAAATGTCACGTTTCATTATCATAATTTTTTCGCTTGACATTTTTAAGTAGCTGCCATAAATGTTTATAACTTCAGCGCACCGAAAGTGTTTCTATTAACTTGGCCCGGGGTTCCGCCCTTTGAGGGCCGGGGCCCTCTTAACATTATTGGACCCGAGGGACGAGAGGCCCGAAAAGAACGGAACTGAACGGAAAGGACGAAGTCCTCGGGCCACACACGTACGAAGCCACCTTGACATTCATAATTCATAATTTATGACTGCATCTGAACGTCTCCCTATATATATTATAATTCAACTGCTGAAAGGTGGCAGATGGAAGGCACACGATTTTCGTGTTCTGGAGTCGCATGATTAAAATTATTTCAATTACAGCCAAATAACTTTGATAAAAACCAGATTTTCTTTTTAAAGTTATGGTAATGCATTTATTATATTTAAACTTATTGCTAACATTTTATATTTTTTTGGGTTGATGTTGTTTTTAATTTTATAAAAGTCTTAATATTTAATAAACTATTTTTCATGACAAAATAATAAAATTATGTAGAAATTTAAATCCTTCGGCATGACGTATT